CCACTCATACAGAGTGTGGAGCAGGGAATGATGATGAAGGAAGCGTATCGTGTGTGTTGTAGCAACACAGACGACCATGAACCACGACAGCGCCCCCAAGTGGCCTAGGCGCATATGCTGTGCTTGACTGGTAAAATGCGGTCATTTTCTCAGACTGCAAATGATGGAAAGCAACAGCCTCGCTATGGAAAAAATAAACAACATCCTGAAATGAAAAAAAGCATAGAATGTTGTTCTGCTAACATAAACCAGAACAACTCCCCAACAGCAGAGGGGTGCCTACCATGCTTACTGGACAAAAGGGCATCGTTGTATCTTGCTGAAAACTTTTAAAGAAAGCAAGGGACTCTCTATGGAAAATATATGGCATCCTGAAAAACTGAGACAGAAGTTGTTCTCCCCTCCCCTCCCTGCTCTTCCTCCCTCTTTCCACCTCTACTTTCCAATTCCTTCCCTCTCTGCTCCTCTTCCTCTTCTTCTCTCCTGTAGTGGTCACGAATCGGGCTGCCAACTTCAAGGTCAGCAGTTCGAAACTACCAGCTATTCCGTGGGAGAAAGATGAGGCTTTCTGCTCCTGTAAAGAGTTACAGCCTCGGAAACCCTGTACAGGGTTGCTATGAGTCGGAACGGACTCCACGGTCGCTATGAGTCGGAACGGACTCCACGGTCGCTATGAGTCGGAACGGACTCCACGGTCGCTATGAGTCGGAACGGACCACCACCATTACAACAAAAAAATAAAAGAATACAATCAGCTAAAATCTTTCAATCGAAGCCTTGATGAAGACATTCTGGGTTGAATCCTTAGATGGATTACACTGCTGGTGTAAACAACTTTAACTCTTAACAATCTGTTTGGCAGAAATCAAGAGATGTGGTAATAGGGCAGATGTTTTCTTACAGTGAAAGGAGACATGGGGATTTTTTTAAAGCCTCCCCCTTTACAACAAACAGTGCACCTCCTTCCATAGGTTTCTTCCTCAGTTTTGCTTTTACCTAAGGTATTTTTTGCTTACTACTAACAACATGGAACTCAGGACTCGTACTTTGGAACAAATTATTCCCACGTCAACACACGGGTTTCCACACGTGGCAGTTTCAACTGGCCAGCAGAAGGACCAATCAGAGAAGATGAGAATGTCCTGCAGTTGCAAAGATCTAAGTACTCACTTGATGGCCTCACACATGTCCAATCCCATTTTCACGCAGTTCTTGGCATGGTTGGGGAGGGATATGGGGAGTCCAGACACGCAGTAGTAACAGTCCCCCAGGATCTTGATCCTCATGCATTCATTCTCCTGGAAGAGGAAATCAGAGATTCTGTTTGTTTAGATCATGATCTGGACTCCTAAGTATCGTCCAGAGATGGTTCTACTCTCACGGCTGCAGGCAAGAGGACCGAGCGGAGGAGAAGAAGAAAGGAAAGGGCGAGGAAGAAGAAGAGTCCCAGCTAGGGGTGTGCTCATACACAAGGCCACACCTGGTCAGCAGACTGAGTTTTCCTAATGTGGCCAGGCAGTCCAACAAAAGTGAGTTTGTATCAGCAACACCAGTGATGGAGGCAGAGATGAGGACATGGAGAGAGGGAGCAGCTGAGGACTCTAAATTCAAGGAAAGAGAGGGACTGTGTGCTGGCGGCCAGGAGGCAGGCTTGCAGAATGTTCCCTTTGGTTGTTTAAATGATTATATATTCCTGAGTGTTTTTGTGTACATCCCCCCAACAAAACAAAACAAAACAGAGGGAATAGAAGCAAATACCATTGAATAATGATGTACTGAGGAGATTGTAATCATTACAATGAAATGACGAGTGTAAAACCGATGTTCTCCCACTCAATCACTCAATTCACAATAAAAACTTAGTAATAACATTAATAATAAAGTGAGTTGTTTGTTTTTTTTACCTTCCTAGTCCAGAGAATCTTCTGGAATGTTTTACACTTCATATGGGCAGTCTTTGTACATTCCACATAACAGTTATTAATTAATGGATGTTTGTAGCTGTTTCTTCTCATTTTTGAATCTTGCCCCATCAACAAAAGCTTTGCTCCATCCGTGTCATTCAAGTTGATTCTACTTTGAGAAGCCACCTCGTCCCCAGTTGTATTTTGAGTGTCTTCCAAGCTGAGAGGTTCATCTTCCAGCACTATGTCAGCCAATGTTTGGCTGTTACTCAGAAGCTATCTAGTGGCTAACCCCTCAGAAGTGAACCTCATGTTCCTTCTTCCTAGTCTGGAAGCTTCACTGAAAGCTGTCCACCATGGGTGCCCTGCTGGGATCTGAAGGACTCTTGGCATCGCTTCCAGCATCACCGTGACATGCCAGCCACCACAGCCCAACAAGCTGACAGACAAGTGGGGTATTCCTCATGCTTTTAAGTGCAATCAAGTGGTTCCCACTCACAGCAACCCTGGAGAGGGTTTGAGGAGCGACTAGTGGATTTGAACTGCTTCCTTGAAGTTAGCAGTCCAGTGCTAATCTTAGAGCAGCACAGAAAGTGCTTTGCATGATATAGAAGTAAAAGTTTTTAAAGATATAAAATAACAAATGGTCACTACATGCTTTGGTATTTCTCTTCCCTACCGTGAGTTTGAGATGCCCTGGGTCTCAATGGTAAATTAATCCACCGACTTTATAAACAGTATTTCTGAAGGGTTGTTGTTGTTAAGTGCTGTTGAGTTGATTCCAACTCATAGCGATTCTTTACAGGGTTTCTGAAAAGTAACTGGTGGTTTTGAACCTCGGACCTTGTGGTTCCGAAGGGTTGTTGTTATGAAGTGCTGTTAAGTCGGTTTTGATTCAGAGTGACTCTGTATAGGGTTTCTGATGAAGTGCTGTTAAGTCGGTTTTGATTCAGAGCGACTCTGTATAGGGTTTCTGAGGAGCAGCTGGTGGATTTGAACTGCTGCCCTTGCAGTTTACAGTCCAGTGCTGATCCTACCAGGAGTCCCACTTACATGAAAACAAACAAAACAAACAAACAAAAAGAACAGAATGTAAGCAAACCAGAATGTAAGTTCACCTCAGAGAAGTGAGCACTCACCTTCGCAATCTGATCGAATTTTCCAAATAGTTCATTCAGCATGTGGACTAGCTCCCCTGGGGAGCAGTCACTTGCTAGCCGGGTGAACCCCACAATGTCAGCATACAAGATGCTGTGGGAATAAAGAGAGAAAGAATGGGACTCATAAGTTAATACTCAAGAAAGAAGCAAGATGAGTTTTCCGATTAAAAACTGTAATTTACATACATTTTTATCCTTATTTTCTTGAGACCATATCATTTCTCTGGTTACAGAATATATGAACATTTAGCTAAACTTGCCCTTATAGTTACCATTTTTTATAGTGTTTCATTTTTTGTAAGTAAGATGATACAGTGAATTGAGTGGTGTCCCCCAAAATGGAATGTCCTTCTGAAATCTTACCATGTAAATTAAGAGATGGACTAGTTCTGAATGTTTAACCTCAGAAAACCTAATGAGTACCATCAGAACGTTGTCAGATAGAGTACTGGGAGATGAGCCCTTCAAGTTGGAAGGAACTCAAAACATGACTCAGAGAGAAATAATTCCTCAAAATAGAGTAAACTATGACGATGCGATAGAACCTATAGATCTGTTTTGGAAGAAGTGCAGCCAGAGTGCTCCTTAGAGGCCAAGATGGCCAAACTTCGACTCTCATACCTTGGACATATTGTCAGCAGGGAATAGTTGCTAAAGAAGGATATCATGCTTGGGAAGATGGAGGGTCAGAGAAAAAGAGAAAGACCCCCAAAGAGATGCATTGGCCAGGTGGCAGCATTGATGGACTCAAATGTGGCAACAGTAGTGAGGATGGCCCAGGATCGGACATTGTTTTGTTCTGCTGTGCATGGGGTCGCTATGAGTCGGTTCCGACTCGATGGCACCTGACAACAACAACAACATGGCGAAACGAGTGGAGTAAAAGCTTTCAGGGTCTTCCTTTGCTGTTAGGGCACAAGTCAAAATGAGACGTAAAAGCTACACATGCCTAGCAACAATTGTGAGGATAGCACGGGACTGGTCGGTGTTTCAGTCTGTTGTGCACAGGGTCACCATAGGTTGGATCCAACTCAGCAGCACTTAACAACAATGACAACACAGGCCTACTGGCAGTTTGGGATTCATGTATGGTACACCTAAAATGTACCAGGGATAAATAATAAGCAAGGTCCTGAGTAAGCAGAGCCTGCTCTCGGCCATCATCGTCCTCCTTGTCCTTGTACTGACCTTAGGGAAGAGTGGACGATGGACATAGTGCTCTGTTGATGGCCATGAGGACAGGTGTACTCTACTCTGTCCACCTGATGTCCTCCACCTGACTCCACTTCTCCTGGGATCCCCGGGGGAGGGAGGACCACAGAAGCTGCGCCACAGTCCAGGAGGGAGAATGCACTCAGCTCACCCAGGGGAAGAGTACCGACCTCAAAGCAACAGAGGGAGGGAGGGCATGGGAAGGGGTGCTTGAGTCCACACCCTTCTTACCCACCAAAGCTACGTCACGTGCTCAAATATGTGGTAGTGGTGGTGTGCCATGGAGTTGATTTTGGCTCATAGCAACCCTGTATAGGATTTCCGAGGCTGTACATCTTTGTGGTTGTTGTTAGGTACCACTGAGTCGGTACCAGCTTATAGTGACCTTGTGCTCAACAGAATGAGATACTGGCCAGTCCTGCATCAGTCTCATCATTGTTGCTGTGTTTGTGTTGGTGAGTTAGTGGGAACAGCCTCATGAGATTCCTATGACGCTGCATGAACCTCTCCAGTGATTTAAAGCCAGAGATGCTGCCAGTGAAGATGACTGTGGTGAAGAATTCATTACCACCAGGGGCTGGTTCAAGGAGTCTGGTGGCAGAGTGGGATACATATTGGGTTGCTAACTGAAAGGTCAGTGGTTCGAATCCACCAGCCGCTCCCCAGGGAGATGAGGCTTTCTGCTCCTATAAAGATTTCCAACCTTGGAAACACTCTACAAGGTCACTTTGAACCGACTCAACTGCATGCAAGCACTACCACCAGGGGCTGGTCCAATCATTTCAATGTGAGGACAAATTTATAAATACTTAAAGGGAAAGTACATGTTTTCTTTAAAGTAGGACACCAGGGGGAGTTTGTAACCCGGGGACTGCCTACCACTTCAAATGCTATTTTATTCTATGGCATACTGGGTTAATGCACTAGATTGCACAGTTGGTTAGAATCGCAAGGTTGGTGGCTCAAGCTCAGCAGCCACTCCTCAGAAACGCTATGCAGGGTCACTCTGGGTCGGAACTGACTTGACTGCACTTACCAACAAGAAGCATGCTGTAGCCTCGAGGAAGGCAAGTGTGTAAGCCATTACACACCTTAACATCTGC